GCTGGATCTGTGCGCTGTGGAGGGGGCAGCTGCTGCCACTGGGTCTTGCGAGTGTTTTTTGGGAGCCAGTTTAGCATGTGGGCTTGGGGAGAAGTTGACTGTGCATGGAGAAAGAGGTTGAAGCTTGCAGACGCTCGCAGTGCAAGAGGAACTTGCGTTGCGTCAGTTGATGCACTGATGGTGCCTGTGCAGACGTGGTTCGTGCTGATCCGTTCCCCGGGGGGGCTATGGTGACCTGGGGGAGGTTGCTTCAGGGGGCAGAGCCTGGTGAGCAGAAGCGGGACGTGGCTGCTGTGTGTAACCTCCTCTCCCTTGCCCTCCCAGCTTACCTCTCTCGGAATAGCATGGCGCGACGCCCGCGGAGCAGCAGGGCCTGGCACTGTGTCCTGAGCGGGGTGCGGCGCGAGGTGGACACCCGGGCGGTCGCCTTGGCCGCAAGCGCACGTGGCTGGGGCTACGACTCCGACGGGCAGGTAGGCTGGCACTCGGGGGGCTCTGGAGCGACACGAGGGAAAACTGGCCTCTCCCCCCGACAGTGGGCACTTACTCAAGGGCTGAGCAGCTAGTGCTTCAGCACACAGAACTGGCCAAAATCGGAAAAGAGCCAATAAATATACAAGCTGCCTAACGAGCCTCCTCCATTCTGTACAGTGGGGCGTGGGGCTCCCAGCACATCTTCCCAAGGGAGGGGAGGCTGAGCTGCCCATGGTCTGCTCCCCAGCTGTGCACCACAGCTCTGTCGTTAGCTGATCAATATTAAGCTAAATGCTTTTTTAAGCATATAAAGTGTGTGTGTGGTACATAAAGTAGATACAGTATTTTTTAAAATATTCTTTTTTAAGTAGTGATCTGAAGATGTGTTTAAACTGGATCAGTTCTCCCATCTGGCTCGCTGTACGGCTGTGCTAACTTCTGGTCTTTGTGCGGCTGTTAGACGGCGGTCGAGGGAGTGGGGCTGCTTCAGTCCATGAAGTTAGGTGTCTGCAAACTGAAATTCTCTCACATTTTGTAATGTGCAAGTCACTCGAGGATCCAGGTGTGCTGGAAGATGGGAACACAGCAGGAAGAGCAGTCAGTCAAGCGGTGTGCAGAGTGACTTACGTTCACCTCTGCTGTTCTTCACCCTTTTCCCCAGTTCCTGAGTGTGTGAGTTCAGTTCCCTGTGCAGCGGTGAGGACACAAGGAACTGCTCCTGGAGCTTCAGAGCTAGGCTAAACCCTTACGAGGCCACTGCCAGAGCACGCTGTCCAAACCCAGGCACAGTCCTCCCAGAAAATAAGCCTTTTCTCTGCAGTCAGAGTAGCTTTGTGTTTCTGCGGTAATGGGAACAGCTGGATTTCTAGATAGCAGTAGTTAGGAAGGTCCAGTGAAGGACAGAAATCAAGCTTTTTGGTATGCAGGCTGGAGGAGGGCTGGGCAGTATGTAAGTAAGCCTGAGTGATTTCAAGTCCCACTGTCTTACACGGCTACAAGAACATGAATCTAAAGGACTTTTGTCTTTAAATATTGCTTACAAAGTCTGCCATGGGGGTGAATAATGAGCAGGTACACCTGACTAGCGTGTAAACCCAGCGTAACTCGCTGCAATCTGTGGTAACAGATTCAACAAGGGCAAATGCAGGGTCCTGCACCTGGGGAGGAACAACCTCATGCACCAGTACAGGCTTGGGGTGGACCTGCTGGAGAGCAGCTCTGCGGAGAGGGACCTGGGTGTCCTGGTGGACGACAGGTTAACCATGAGCCAGCAGTGGGCCCTGGCTGCCAAGAAAGCCAATGGGATCCTGGGGTGCATCAAGAAGAGTGTGGCCAGCAGGACAAGGGAGGTTCTCCTTCCCCTCTACACTGCCCTGGTGAGGCCTCATCTGGAGTACTGTGTCCAGTTCTGGGCTCCCCAGTTCAAGAAGGATGAAGAGCTACTGGAGAGAGTCCAGCGGAGGGCTACAAGGATGGTGAGGGGACTGGAACATCTCCACTACGAGGAGAGGCTGAGGGAGCTGGGCTTGTTCAGCCTGAAGAAGAGAAGGCTGCGAGGGGACCTTATAAATGCCTACAAATATCTGAAGGGTGGGTGTCAGGAGGATGGGGCCAAGCTCTTTTCAGTGGTGCCCAGCAACAGGACAAGGGGCA